GCAAAACTCCGCATTTGAACAGTCAATAGCAAATACTTAAACTAATAACAAAACAGTTGCTGATTCAGAAGCGCCAGATTGTCATAGCAAAGTCAGAATTACCTCCTCTCCTAGGTTCACGAAACGGTCGTCCATAAAATGCATTGCTGTTCTGTTGTAAGTAATCTTAAAGATTCCTAAATGCATCTACTTTCGGAAGGCCAAATAAAGTGCTTTTGCTTTCGCCTAGAAACACACGGCGTCTCCCAAACATGACTGCTTCAACACTAACTGCGGTTACTGGAACCACGCCTTCTTTCTTTGCGTGAACATTTGGGCGGCATTATGCAAATATTTCCACATAGTGAGGTAGATATGTGGGGGCGTGGCAGAGTCTTAACTTTGATAAAGAATATCTCTTTGGTTTTGAGACTTTAGTCTTTGCAACTTCAGGGATCTTATCTATGCACAATAAGCTTGTAACACTCCAAAGAGAAAGGAAAACTTGAAATCGCCTCATATGACCCCTTTAATGCATTCTGTAGTTCACTGAATTTATTGTGACAACACTAATAAAATGTTCGAGAATGATCTGAAGTTGCATCATTCACCCTATTTATGCAATAAACATAAGTGCCTGTTTATACCAGTACAATAGTTGTGGTTGTAACAAGAGCTGCATATGTTCACAAAAAGGATTCGGACAAGATTTTAAAACCAAAGCCGAAACAATCACATAAAAGTCAAAACTGAAGTCATTTCAGTGAATGCTCTTTTTAATTCCTTTTCCTTATACATATGAGACCAGATCAATGTTCTACTGAACTGCAAGGCATTATTAATGACTTAATGTACGTTTCCATATTATCAATTGCATATTCAGACCCTTAATTAATGCTGCCTTGTACTGAAATAGAGATCTATATACTATACAGTACAATATTCAGTTAAATGTTATCATTGATATTTGTACTTTTAATGTTAAAGTATATTATAAAATATTTATTACACTTTATTTTAAGGTGCCCTTGTTACAGTGTAATTATACGTTTAAGTACTAAGTAATATTAATTAATGTACTTACTATATGGTTAGGGTTAGGATTAGGGCTTGTCTTAGGGTTACTTGCATGTAATTATGCATAATTAATTGTTATTATAATAGTAAGTACATGCAACATGTATAACAAGGACACCTTAATATAAAGTGTTACCAAAATATTCTTAACAAAATAATAATAATAATAATAAAAGTAAATAAATATGATTTTGCTTACCTGTTAGCATAACCTATTAGTATTGTATACAAGTATAAATTGTCAAAACAACTAGAATTAAAAAAAAAAAATAATAATAATAACAGTGTTCATGGTCACATCTTGTATTCTGCAAATCCTCAGTTCCAAATAATAAATAAGTTCCCAATATTCCATAATGAAAACAACCTCTTTATTATGAGTGAATTGGATGGGTTAAAAAGAATCAGAGAATAAAATTAGCCGAAAACCATGGGCATAAGTCATTTGTATTATTCCATTGCTAGTTCCCAGCTAACACTATAGACCTGTCTAAGTGTCACATTCCTGTGTCTTCTAATGCAAAATTGTCTTTAGCAGGTTTTCCTTCTTTTGATGTTGAAACATCTAAAGACCATCCTTGTTATTGCCAAAGCGGGTTAGAAACAGTAATGAGTGCTTTCAATATTCAATACTGAGATCTCTGATATCCAAAGTACCTGCAGGTTAGATAAATCTAACCTTAAAAAAAAACAGGATACTGGATACTGAATAATATTCTTAAGCAGTAAAAACCTTTATGTTGTCTTTTCGTTGGTTGTATACGTCAGCTGCTTTGTCCCTACCTTAATGGGTATTTCTCTTCAGAGTAGCACCAAATTAAATTTCCTTTCTGAGTAGCAACATGATACATATGTAGCCACAAAGCAGGAAATTCAGAACAGGCTTCCTGCCCATACACTGAATGATCTGAGTTAAATGGATCTGGTGAAAAGACTGTATAATGCTGTATAATGTTTGAGAAAGGTTTAGTGTTTTTTTAGTGGTGCATATTAGGTCATATGAAATATTCTGTACCTAAGATCATTCAGCTTATTGAGGAGAGGTGTGCAATTGTTTTTTACGCAATCAGACATATGATTTTCACCAGCTGATAAAACAGACACAAATACTAAAGAATCACAGAAGGGATAGTTTCAATTACATGCAATTAGTTGAACTTAAGAATGCTTTTTGGACCCACTTAAGTAGTACATAAATATATCTGTATGTGTAATTTCATAATTCTAGTTGAAATATGGTTAAAGTGTACATTCTTCAGTACATTCACTGAAAAGAGTTTAACGTAAACTCAAATACACTGTCATTTCTCTTATAATGTCATTTCTGCTGAAATGTGTATGTAATGTATTTGTGATTTCACTTTTGTAATTTGAAGTTGCAATTTAGCACATTTTAAATTTACTGTAGATGTAATGTTGAATAACACACTACAGTTCGAATAATAATCAAGTACTTTACATGTTCATTAGTATGTTATTCAGAACATTGAAATAAGTGAAATGTGTACTTTAAAGCACATATTTTAAAATACAATTTAAAGTGTACCTGAAAGTAAATACACTTGCGTACACTTAAGTGGCCTTTTATTTCATTCATATTATATGTACATTTTCCAGTTTTTTAAAATAGACTTTTAAGACTTAGTAAACTACAACATTTATTACATTTATAGGCACACTTACTTTTCACAAGAGAACCCAGCATTCAAAGGACTGAATAATTAACCATCCAAAACTTCCCCTGATATGTAGGGCGTTGTTACCCAGAACATCCAATCAACCAAACAGGAACACGTTGTGCACTGAAACGCCTTTGAAACATCTTTGCAGCCACTAGCAGACACCTAGCATTGGCAACAAGTTTTATAAAGCTATGTATTTTATTTACAGCGTAAAAATCTTGTTAATAAATATGATTACTCTCTGCATTTTTTTTTTTCTAGAAAGGATAGGGGAAACACGAAAACCTAGATGCTGAATGTAAGGAGATCCTGATGTCAAAGCACTTAATAAGGTTCTCCAGTTTCTTTCTGCAGGCCCAGCTCATCCAATTAGAAGTAACCTGAGAGCTAGTTTAGGAACAGGTTGAACATGACAAACAAACTTGATTACAGAAGAGTAAAGACATCCTTTAAAACCCAACTGTTCTAAAACTCTCTATATAACAAGTTATTGTTTATCCTAGGTGGTAAGTAAGGGTTGTCACTGGTTCAAATGTCCCAGCATGCTCACCATCATCTGTCTACAGGAGATTACAGCTAAGCCCTGATATTCATTAGTCTGTGGATCAAGGGCTTCAGAGTTCAGACTCCCAATCTACATATTTCACTAAAGCAATATGTCAAGGTTTGCATAACAGTGATTTTACCATAGTTACGTATGTTTTAGTTATTCTGCATCATGTTATGCCGTAGAACACCCCTTAAAAAATTCCTGTTGTGCCTTATCACTTTTATAAAATAGCAGCAAAATCAATATGATAAAAGGCAATGTTAAATAACTTTTTAAATGTAATTTATTAATAATAATCTGAATGATTCTTCTACAAAGTTATATAGCTCATTAGGTTAACTTAAGGGTGTATTATGCTTGCACGCATTCCAGCAAGTAAACAGATATAATATTACTATATGGTGTATTAATATATAAAGTTGTGCATTTTACAGCAGCTATTAAAATGGTTCATTTAATCAGAATTTATCGTTGGATCTATGCATGTCCTACTCAACAATACACTCACAATTGACCTTATTGAGGGTAGATTGAGGATATATTACTAACGTGACATTATTTTGTTGAAATCTCCATATGTTGTGAATAAAAAGCAGGAACGCATTAAAACTGTAGGTGGGCGCGCGCGCGCGCACAGCCGCTGGTGTTTAATATCTGAAAAGCAGAGAGATAAACAACAATGGGTTTTCGGAGGACACTGGTGTTAGATAATCGGTTTTATTCCCGAGAGTATTGTTTCACTCAACCTTTTTTTCCCAGGCGCTTGTGTTAGGGATTCAGGGTGATCTTTATGAGACAGGCAGATTATTCATGTCCATCTGACTAGAAGTGTTTAGAAAGAGACACATGAAGAGCTCATGGCAACATTTACCTGCAATAAACTTACTTTCTGGATGGGACGAGGAATTTATCAACTTTTTAATCTTGGTTCATACACCTTCCTAAATGAAAATATATTTTAATAATCTTAGGACAGACGAGTAAAAACGTTTACAGTGTTCTATTAGGATGACAGAATCCTTGACATTTTAAGCAGGTAAGTGGTGAAACTTTGGATTTTATTGTATGAAATGCTTTGTGATGACAGAGAGAGAATTTTGTGGTAAATATTATTTAATGTTGTAGTGAATGTGTTGATGATGTATTTTATTAAGTTAGCCTACATAGGCTACTAACAACAACAACAAACACTACACTTCATGATACACTGTAAAAATGTTTTATCTGGTAAATGTGTATCATTTGAAGATTTTATTTTAAAGGTTGCACAAATTAAATTTGTTGTTATTAAATAAAATAATAAGGCATAATATGGCAGCGGTAGTCCCACCTAACATTTAAGAGCCAATCACATTTTTGATAGAACAATGGAAGTTCCAATGTACTGTTAAAAGAGCCAAATACCTTTTTAATAGAGACACTTTCTGTTTGATGTCTCTTAAATTGAGAAACACCAGCGAATGAGCTCAATTTATTTTGCCATGGTTTCAGATTTTTCCCTTATTTTAAAACGTTATTTAACCTCAACATTATTAGATGAATAGAATGTGTACTTACATAACTAGGAACAGCTGAATGAACTAACTAAAGTCATTTCTAAGGGTCAGATCACATCCCTCACTATTTAAAAACACAGGTAGAAATACTGTAGCTCCTCCTTAAAAACTGTCCGTTTTCACTTATTTCACTTCTCTTTTTTTTTACATTAGAGTATCAAAGTACTATGGTATTACCATCTGATATAATCACTGTGTTATGATAGAGGTACTGTCATTTTTGAAAGTGTGTAACAATATTTAATTATTTCTTATGTAGAATGCTTGATCTTTTTATATAACTAGTAAATGTTTTTGTGGAAAGATGTTTTTATGTTGTCTACAAAAAAAATTGAATCATAGGTATCTAAAAAAAATTGGTGTAGGATTTTCTTTAAAAAAATTTCAATCAAAAATTGCTAGTAAATTGAAACATGACATTTTTCTTTCAATAAAATAATTTTATTTCTATTCACAGTTCTCTGCCAGCTCCAGTGCTCTGCTACCTACTTAAGCTATACTTACTACATTCAAATAATTGACATCCCCAAATGCCACCATGCCCATCATCAGCAATGCCAACCATGATTTTAGCAATCTCTCAGTCAGCACAGACGACAGCAGCCTTGACCTGTTTTTCTCAGAAATTCCAGTGACCGAAACCATCAAAGGTGTATACTTTCAACGTGCCCAGCGACTACACAACATCCCGGCCTTCAGAGATGTTGACCACAGTAAACTAGCCCTCATCAATGTTGGAGGAGATTGCTACACTTTTCCTTGGAGCACACTGGAGGAATTCCCACTCACTCGTTTGGGACAGCTGTGTCACTGCAGCAGCCCAGATGATATCGCCCAGCTTTGTGATGATTATGATGAGGCCCGGCGAGAGTTCTTTTTTGACCGCAGCTCGATGGCCTTCCGGGTCATCTTAAACTTCCTGGCTGCAGGTAAACTGAGACTGCTGCGGCAGGTGTGTGCTGTGTCACTGTCTGACGAACTCAACTATTGGGGCATCGACCCTGTTCACATGGAACGCTGCTGTCGGCGCAAGTTGTTGTCCCGTGTGGAGGAAGTAGGAGAGAAGAAAAGGAATGAGGAAGAGAGGAGGCAGAAAAGGCTAGCCCTACAGAGCCCATTAGCACAAGAGAAGGGCTACATCTGGCTCATGAGCCGGCTGCAAGAAATAGTGGAAAACCCTCATTCTGGCTGGCTTGGGAAAACATTTGCCTGTTTCCCAGTGGTCATGATTGCTGTGACAGTTATCAGCTTGTGTATCAGCACCATGCCTGATCACGATAACAGGGTTAGTGCACAAAATCACTATTCAATGTTGGAGGAGATTGCTACACTTTTCCTTGGAGCACACTGGAGGAATTCCCACTCACTCGTTTGGGACAGCTGTGTCACTGCAGCAGCCCAGATGATATCGCCCAGCTTTGTGATGATTATGATGAGGCCCGGCGAGAGTTCTTTTTTGACCGCAGCTCGATGGCCTTCCGGGTCATCTTAAACTTCCTGGCTGCAGGTAAACTGAGACTGCTGCGGCAGGTGTGTGCTGTGTCACTGTCTGACGAACTCAACTATTGGGGCATCGACCCTGTTCACATGGAACGCTGCTGTCGGCGCAAGTTGTTGTCCCGTGTGGAGGAAGTAGGAGAGAAGAAAATGAAAGAGGAAGAGAGGAGGCAGAAAAGGCAAGCCATACAGAAGCCTCTAGCACAAGAGAAGGGCTACATCTGGTTCATGAGCCAGCTGCAAGAAATAGTGGAAAACCCTCATTCTGGCTGGCTTGGGAAAATCTTTGCATGCTTCTCAGTGGTCATGATTGCTGTGACAGTTATCAGCTTGTGTATCAGCACCATGCCTGATCACGATAACAGGGTTAGTGCACAAAATCACTATTTTTATATATACTGTCTTCAGAGGGCATATATTCTGAGGGTCTTCTGTCTTCTATAGTATACCATGATATATATTCTACACCCTTTAAAAATAAAGGTTGATGCCATAAAAGAACCATTTTGGGTTCTCTAGTCTAAAGAACCTTTTGGTGAACAGTTCTAAAAAGAACAGTTTCTTCCTATTGTGAAGAACATAACTTAAAGAACCTATTTCCACTATAAAGAACCTTTTGTGCAATGGAAAGCTTAGGTTTCATGGATGTTAAAAGTTCTTCCTGGAACCATAGATGCCATCAAAAACCTTTATTTTTCAGAGTGTACACCAAATGTCAGAAGAATGCAAAAATATAAGGAATGAATGGGGTCACAATCACTTTTTTTGTATTTCTTCTCACCACTATTCAGCTTTGCATGACCATTACATTTAATACTTTATGTATTTGTGTGTGGAATGTCATGTTTTCAGGTTATTCATCCTTGTGACATACAGTAAAGCCGATAATTTGATAATTTAAGAATGAACTATTTTTGCAGTAGTTTCAACAAAAGGACTATGTTCCAAATAACATTATACCATACTTTTCATATATTGATTCTTATATATATATATATATATATACTGTATATTGTCACGCTACGGTGGAATGAAACACACAAGGAAGATGATGAGCAATGCAAACAGTCTTTAATAAATCCACACAAGGGTAAATCCAAGACAGAACAGACAGGAAACACACGTATGGACTTAGTAGACTGGACAAACACAGACTGCACAGACTAGGGGTTAAATACATGGGATGACAAGGACAAATAACAAGACACACATGAACCAAATGACACAATCAAACATGAGTGAAAACTAGGTCATGGAGCACATAAGGGATGAAAACACAACAAACAGTCCAGGGCTGTGAAATCAGCAACAGCAACACTGGTGGGAGATGAGTACAGTCCAAGGACAACAAGATATGCGAGGCCAGCAATGAACATCAGGGAACATAGAATGGTGATGGCAGGGGAGAAAGACAGTGAAACCTGGAGAGTGGAGGCAGGAACTTGGCAGTTCTGGCTGGAGTCCTCTGGGGCTGGTGGGCAGATAAGAGACCTGAAGAGGAGCTGGATGGATGAAAGAGGATGAAGAGGGGAACCGAGAGGGCAGGGCAGCAAGAGACTGGACAGTGGTGAAGAGGAAGGAATCTGGCGTCCAGAACAGAGGGGGGTGCTGGGGAGCAAAAGCAAGCCATGTTGAGATAACAAGGTAACAAGAGGGGCAGGGTAACAATAGACAATAGAGCAGATGGGATGACAAACACAAACACCATGTGTCAGCCATGTTATCCAGACAAACAAAAGATGCAACGCCAACAAACCCTGAGCTGAAAAGACCAGCACCTTGACAGTAAGCACCCCCCGCCCCTACCAGGAGCAACCCTGTGTGCTCCTGGGACAGAAAAGGAGTAGTCCAAGATGTCCCGAGACAACACCCTCCAAAAGGTAATAGTATCCCCAACCACACCTCCTGGTGTCCAGCAGCCTCCATAGCACAAGAGGATAGGGGAGAGGGAGGGAAGGAGCAGACATAGGTTCAAAGGGGAAGAAATTACAGGCTTGACACGAAACACATGTAAGCCGACACATGAGAGACGCACTTCCGTTGGACCATAGACTTTGGTAATGTGATATGGTCCTAAGAACCTGGGTTCCAGCTTGTGTGCCAGCACCTTAAGGGACAGGTCCTTAGTGGAAAGCCATACCCTCTGCCCACAGACATACTTTGGATAAGAAGTCAGACGACGATCTGCCACCTTGGCATTTTTCCCCGCCTGGAAAAGCACCTTCCTGGCTCTTTCTCATTTGAGTATGCACCACTGGACAAAGGCCTGTGAGCATGGGTGCCTCAGGTTCGTGTGAAGCAAAAAGATGCGGCTGATGACCAACAGACTTTGGAAAGGGGGGGCATACCAGTGGCTGCCACAGGGAGCGTATTGTGGGCATACTCTGCCCAGGTGAGCTGATGGCTTCAGGAAGTGGGATTGTGGGATGCTAGACAGCAAGCATCTGCTCCAAATCCTGATTAGCTTGCTCAGACTGCTTGTTGGTCTGAGGATGGAATCCTGAAGTCAGAATCGCAGAAGCACCGAAAAATGGGAAAAAACTGGGGCCCCTGTCAGAGACCACATCTTTGGGAAGGCCATGAATCTTAAAGACATGATAGTCTACAACCTGAGCAGTTTTTTTTTGCTGAGGGCAATTTGGGAAGGGAAATGAAATGAGCCACCTTTGAAAAATTGTCCACAACTGTCAAAACCATGGAATTGTCCGTGGAGGAAGGGAGGCCAGTGCCAAAGTCCAGGACAATATGGGACCAGGGGTGGGTGGTGATGGGCAGACCAAGAAAGGCTCTACTTCCCCTTTCAGCTGTCGCTACTCATCCAAAACCAGCCTAACTGCGAGCAGCTCCTGGTTACCAACATCATAATTTTGATCTGCTAAGCTCAGGTGGTGAGAGAAGAATGCGCATGGGTGCACCATCCCATGATGAGGGGATAATAAAGAAAGGACCGCCCCAACTCTGACCTCTGAAGCATCAACCTCCATAATGAACTGCAGATCAGGGTCTGGAACAGACAAGACAAGTGTAGATGTGAAACATTTTCATAAAAATCCCCATGTTCCTGCTATGACCACCTAAAAGGTACTTGAGTGTAGGCTAGAACAGTTAATGGGGCAGTGGTCTGACTATAATGCCTAATGATACAGCAATAAAAAATGGCAAACACTAGGAACCGCTGCAGTGCTCTATGAGAGTCAGGGACTGGCCACTCTGAGACAGCCTCACCTTTGTCAGCTTGAAATATGCACTTCTCCACTTTGACATAAAGTTGATTTTCAAGTAGCCTCTGCAGCACCTGTCAGGCATGTTGAGTGTGTGCCTGCAAAGATGGGGAATCAATGTACACAAAGACAAATCGATTATGTCTCTTAGCACATAATTTATCAGGGCCTGGACAGCCGGGGTGTTCGTAAGCCCGAAGGGCATCACCTGAGTGCACAGTAGGGGTGTTAAAGGCCATCTTCCACTCATCCCCTTCCCTTATCCAAACCAAACGGTAGTGATGTTACCTATGACACTGAAGCTTCGAGGCACATGTTGAGAGTGCTGCAGCGATCTTCAGCGAAGCCCCGTATCAGGGCATGTATTAGTTTTACAGAGTCATGTGAATGACAATCACATGCGCAGTTTGCTCTGTGTATTGGAATGTTCGAACCCCCAGATTTACTCAGACTTATTAGATTAAATTTTTTAATTCCCAGTCTGCATGAACAGCTTTGGAAACAGGACCAGGTGGATTTTGCCATGACACGTTGACAGTGTAGGTTGCTGCATGTCAGCTCCACCAGGCCAACAAACAAAGTTGGCAGGTCATGGATGGCAATCTCACTCTGAATATCAGAATTGTGCCCCTCCCTGAAAACATAAAGTTGCTTCATTTCAAGCCAGCGACTGGGTGTTTTAAACACCTTGATAATTTCCTGAAGAAACAGCTTGAATGTGGCACAGTAAGGTGCTTGCCTCTCCCAGATGGTAGTTGCCCACTATCTGGCCCTCCCAGTGAGTAGGGTAACGACGAACTCCACCTTCGCTGCTTCGGTAGCAAAGGTCGAGGGTTACAGGGCAAATGTGATGGCACATTGGAAGAGGAATGGTTGACATGACTTAGGAACCCCATTATAAAGAGGTGGTGTTGGCACTCTGGGTTCCGGAGCCACCTGGGAACGAACAGGAGCAGGCAACAGTAGCCCGGATCTGGTCAGTGGTGGTGGTGGCTGGAATCCTTTGGGACTGGCAGGCAGATAGAAGATCCAAAGAGGAGCATTTTCCTGAATGGAACAGGAAGAGGAGGGGAGCCAGGAGGGCAAGGTGGCAAGAGTCTGGAGAGTGGTGATGGGGAAGAAGGGTTCCAGCAGCCAGAACAGATAGGGGAGCTGGGGAGCCAAAAAATAAATAAATTAATAAATAAAAATAAATAATAATCATGTTTTTTATTGAAAAAATATGATAACTGGAAGCCATTCAGTGTTAAAGGTGCATATCCAAAGCTTAATTGAACTGTTGAAAGGGATTTTGAGTTCTGAAAATTACAGATTATTAACACCAGTGGTTCTCAGCTCTGGTCCTGGACACCCACCGCTCTGCATATTTCGTATGTCTCACTTATCTGACACACTCAATTAATTGAGCTCTCTCCTGATGATCTGAATCAATTGTGTTAAATGAGGAAGACATACAAAATGGGCAGAGCAGTGGGTCCCCAGGGCCAGAATTCAAAGGATTAAAGGTGCACTCATTTTTCTCTCAATAAAGTTTTAATTGAAATAACTAGAAAGGTACAAAATGATTAGTACACTTAAAATAGACTTACAATAGCCTTATAAAAGCTGTATTATTAAAAATGTATCAATTGAAATAATATTAATCTACCAAATTTCTAAAATCTGTTTTTACCTTTATGGTGTACTGACAACCACCTTTAAAACACAGTTGGTAAAGAGAATAAGCTGAGGTAAATACAAATATATACTGTAGTAGGTGCACAGTATTATCATGAAAATACAAAATGCTATCATGGTAAGACATATTTTATGGCACAACAATAAAGTAATTTAAATTAATTTAACAACAAATGTACATAACTAATAAGAAAAAAAGATATAAGAAGAAATGAAAAACCATCAAATGTGAGCTGTCACACAGAGAACTCTGGAAATGTCATCAAGCTGCCTCATTAGGACTGACAGTGTGAGATGTCCCATGACCAGCCAAATACTACACACTTTATCTCAGTAACTGCACCCCCACCCCGCTTTCAATTCTGAATCTGTGTTTCATTACATATTTCCTTTAATAAAGCAAAAATGTCAATGTCAATAGTTACATTGTTTTTTTTTTTGTTTGTTTTTTACAGATTTTGCAGACCATGCTTTAGTAAGTGATGTTAAATCTAAACATTCACCCGATTTCTCCTTATTGTTCTTTTACAGGGTAAATGCTCAGAAAAATGTCGCAACATATTCATAGTGGAAACGGTGTGCGTGGCCTGGTTCTCCATGGAGTTTTTGTTGCGCTTCCTGCAGGCTCAACGCAAACTGCAGTTTGTTCGAAATCCACTTAATATAATAGATGTCATAGCCATTCTACCATACTACATTTCTTTGGTTGTCGATAGCGAAGATGAATCTGAAGAAGCCGAGCTTAATGGTAGCGCTGGTCGTGGATATTTAGATAAGCTGGGTTTAATTCTGCGAGTCATGCGTGCCCTGCGAATCCTGTATGTGATGCGACTGGCACGACACTCACTGGGCCTTCAGACCCTGGGTCTTACAATACAACGGAGTATGCGAGAATTTGGACTCCTGCTTCTCTTCCTCTGTGTGGCTGTAGCTCTATTCTCACCTCTCGTACATTTGGCAGAGAAAGAATTCACAAAGAACAAGCCCACTGGGCCCCACAGCTTTAGCAGCATTCCTGCTTCCTATTGGTGGGCTATCATATCCATGACGACCGTTGGCTACGGTGACATGGTACCACACAGTATACCTGGCCAGGTTGTTGCCTTTAGCAGCATACTGAGTGGTATTCTTATCATGGCTTTTCCAGCTACATCTATCTTCCATGTTTTTTCTCGTTCATACCACGAGCTGAAGCGTGAACATGAAATGATTTGTAAAGAAGAGCGAGCGGCCACCTTGGATGCTAAAGAGGACGCCCAGAGAGTGCTGGAGAGACACTCTTTTTCTTGAGCCAGCAATAAGAGTAATAGTCAAAGCAAGGGCAATGGCACAGCTGCCAGTCAGCCAACATGCTGCAATAACATCTGATCTATTATTTGCATATCTCTTCATACTTTGTTGGATTTATTATTTTCTACATGTGATTTTTAAATCTGTTGGAATGTGATTTCTGTGACAAATCAATAAAATAATTATCTGTACCATTAAAATTACTGAGGTTTTGCATATGATGTGTTCATTTGCCCTTAAACATAAAAATGTGTCTGTGTTTGTGATTATTGTTCCATTTTATACATTTATATTGTGATTGAAATTATTCATTCAGGCCCACACCACATTACCATGAATGATAAGTCGCAGCCTTTTAATTGCAGTTACCTTCAACCTTTTGGTATTTGTGGTTTACATAATTTATTAATCCTTATTTCTGAAAACACAAGCTCAAGCAGCTCAAGAATCTGATAAGCCAAATAATTGGTACCTATTATATGTAATATTTCTATTGGAGAAAAAAAAACATACACTCAATTTAACATCTTTTTAGGCATACTTAAAGTCACTGGTACAATATATAATGAAAGAAAAAAGATAGAAACTACAGTGTGGTTTCAAGAATGTGAATATTTTTGCATGTAGTAGTAAATAACAATGCTTTCGAACATTAAAGGGAATTAAAAAATTTTTTTTCAAGAATATTCAAATGACATTAGAGCACACGAGTATGTTTAGACTTTTCTTTAATTGTACAATGAAGTATGTTGCTTTGTTAAGCCAAATAATAACATGTCAAATAATAAATTGCATACTTGTCATTACTCTCATGTTTGTTATCATCAGTGACAGCTGGCCAACAGAGGGCGATAGGGAGCCGCCCTCGCCTAACCACACACAAAATAATAATTATAGGCCTATTTATAATAAAAAAATGATGAAAAAAGTTGATGTTTTGATATGATATGATATGACATCATCTGTGCAAATATATGCTTTCCCTTTATGTCCCCCTTTAGTGTCTGTTGGCATCTCCTGTGCTTGACTTGTATACATAAACATATATTCTATGTATTTTTGCTGTTGCACCGTATACAGAAATTGTGACTTATTCTTTTTTTTTTATTTACCTTGAAAAAAAAGCTTTGTTTTGTGAAAATCATTCTTAAACTTTATCCGAACTATTAACAATTATCTTTATTTAAAATGTTTCTCAAGTGTTTTTTCTTAAACTTTTACTTTATCTCTTTAGCATTAAATAAAGGAATGTTTGCTAAAACTGTTGTAGCACAGCCATACGTTGAACATTTTCCACCAGCCACCACTGATTATCATGTGGCTTGAATTTTTAAATTTTTTTTCAACATCACTGACCCTTTTTGACTTAAATAATAGCTGAACTTGCTAATGATAATTAGACTACCTCCAGCAGGCTGCTGGCTACTTTTGATTTCCTCACTGTTGACACATTGCAGTTTTTTACATTTCTTTATTTATTTTTGGTCTACTGTGTGACACAAAACTCACAAATGTCATTAAGGTAATGACAATTTACATCCATATATTCAAAACAGTATCAAAATATGGGGACACTTTTTCCCAGTACTTGAAAGGCTAGAAATGCTTCTACACTTTCAAATGTTCTTTATTTAGCTTTACCTTTACTTTCTTTCTCTCATTTTTCCTTTTCATCTATAATAGGTTGTTTATGTATTTGTTCAAAGATTTTGTGCCAAAAGATTTGTGAGTCACTCATGCAGCATTTAAATCTCTTAGACCAGCTTGATAAACTACAGTAAAATAATCTATGATAAAATATGTAAACACATGAATATATGTGTCTTTTGACACACCACCAGCAGATTAGCAGATTTGAGTTTTGTTTACCTTTGATAACCATAGTACAATACCCTGAGATGGTAATGTTTTTATTGTAACCATGGTGTTGTCCTCAGTCGCATATGACAAAAATAATTCCGATCAAACCCTGGAGAGAGACACTGTATTTTTAACATGTTCGTACACATACTGTAGCATTACTAGCCAGTACAATTTATTCTACTTCTAAGATCTCTTAGCATGACCTCATTATCTTTAATTATTATAGGACTACTAATGTGTTGCAAAATCATACGTTAGTTTCTAAGTCAGTGACTGGCTTTGTGTAATTCAGATGATCTTCACTAATGTTTGTGGCATATATCATAGTAGACAATGTTGTTTCCTTCTTATCTCTGATGTGGTAGGGGGGTGGAACTAGTTATGCAAAAAAAGAAGGTTTGTCTCACTCACCTCTTCACACACCATGCACGGTGCTATGCCATGGTAGTGCTTGATAATGCGTATGAAATTCTACAAACAGAGGAAATATGGTGGAAGACTGTGAACAACAAAGGTAAAGCACTGATGCTTCTGTTTTAATTTGTATATTACATTATAAAGACATAACATATGTTTATGTAAGTTACTACCCACATTGTAGGAAATGTACCGTACAGTTAACGATTCAATTTGTAAAATCTTTTTAGAAGTGGCATACAGATTTAGATAAGTTGCAAAACATTAAATATAACTAATAAATCTAACTGAAGATTTTTGATGCTTTTATTAACTGTAGTACCTTATCATATATACCTTGTACAGCATCACTATGTGTATTAATGATAACAAAAGTTTATTTAGATGAATGCATCAATACACAACATGCCAAAAGATAGGTCAAACATTTCTTCTCTTTTTAGTCATGGCCAATCAAGTAGTGGATGCAGATCTCTTCGTTCGTTTTTTATATTCACCATTTTCCTGGTCCTGTTCCTGTGCTACTACATTGTCCCCAATGAACTGTCAGAATCCTGGGCTGTAGCAGTTGGATTATTTCTTCCAGAGAAATTTACCACTAAAATGGTCAACGATTCTCTGAATACAGTGCCAACAGTGACTTCTGTGGAACCGTGGAAGCCTCCGGAGCCATATTGTGTGGCATACCCACACAAGTATAATTTAGTTTTGAATGAGCCAGAGAAGTGCCAGAGGGAAAACCCTTTCGTGGTATTAATGGTACCAGTAGCTCCAAGCAATTCAGCTACTCGGGATGCCATTCGGTCAACTTGGGGATCAGAGAGGTTAGTTGGAGACAAGACCGTGAGCATATTATTTCTGTTGGGTCTCCCCACTTCAGAAGAAAGAGAAACGCTTCAACAAAATTTGCTACGGGAAAGTGAGAAGTATCATGACCTTATACAAAGTGATTTCTGGGACAGTTACTTCAATCTCACCATTAAGACAATGGTAATGCTAGAATGGCTGACTGTTTACTGTCCGAATACCTCCTATGCAATGAAAGTTGACTCTGATGTGTTTCTCAATGTCAAAACCTTAGTCAGTATGCTTCTGTCTACACCAAAGCAGAACTATATGACTGGACTTGTGGCTAGGAATGCAGTGGTACTGAGAGATCCTCATTCTAAATGGTATCTTCCAAAAACTGTTTATGAGCCACCTTTTTATCCACCCTACGCTCTGGGCTTGGGATATGTTTTCACCCTAGACCTGCCAGAGAAACTTGTTAAGGCAGCCCAACGTGTCAAACCGGTTTACATAGAGGATGTATTTCTAGGTCTATGTATGACACATTTAGGAATTGCTCTCACCAATCCACCTGATGGAAGCCTATTCAATGTCTTCCCTGTAGAATACAACCGCTGCCGCTATTCAAAACTCATCGCCACAACGACACGAAGCTTGAGAGACCAAGTGGAGTTTTGGAAGGATTTACAGAGACCTGGTCCATATTGCTAACAACAAATAGTTAAATCTGTGTAATGGTCACATGACTTAAATGTAACAAAGCTTGCCTGTCTTTTTATACATGGACAACCAAAAACAGGCTATAACAAAACCCCGGGTTAATTATGTGTCTTCGGGTTCACACTGCACAATTTCAGCAACAACAATCCACAGTCCTACAATGTGAAACGTGTTTTGACTTAAAATACATCAGCGACGACCTACAGCCAATGAGAGAGCACGATACAGGTCAAGGGAAAGTTCAGTTCAATAAAAAACATTAGCATCCATGGCTTCTGCAAGCAACCAGTCTCTCTTTCATATTCTTTTCTTATTTATTTTTATTTTAAATTTTTCATTGCAAATCAGTGTACAGACAACTTGGATCGAAAGCTTTTTTGCAGCCTAAATTAATAAATCCATTCTCGTAAATACTTGAAGACCTAGATAAGGTAAATAAGATTGAAAAATAAAAACACATTTAAAATGTGAATAAAAACTTGATCTACTCTAGCAACAGATTTTAAAGGTGTTTTTCAGTATTTCTCTCTCTCTCGCTCTCTTTTTTTGTGCTGCTATATATTTGTTTATGATAACCGATTATATTATCAGAACTAATGTCACAATGTTACATGTTGCTATAGTAATAACAATAAATGATGCACAATTTCATGAAACTAACTCTAAACCAAACCTTCATTCTAACATTAACCATATAGTAAGTGCATGTAGTTAATTAATATTACTTGGTACTTAAATGTATAATGTATAACTGTAACAAGGAAACTGTAAAATAAATGGTAACACTTTATTTCGATAGTCCACTTTAGACATTCTATTAACAGTAAGTAACTTTGCAACTACATGTCAACTAGCAGTTAGTAGAATATTAGTAGACTGTCTGCTTAATATCTTCTAACACTTTCTTTGTCAACTTATTCTACAAACCCTAAACCTACCCTAACAGTCTACTCTGAGAATTAGTTGACATGTAGTTGACATGTAGTTACAAAGTTACTTATAGTTAATAGAATGTCTAAAGTGGACTATCGAAATAAAGTGGAACCCCAACTTCTAATGGCTCATAATTTCTGGCACCTTATTTCAATATGAAGGGCCAGGTCAGCTGTTCAGCACTTCCAAAAAAGCTATATACTGCAAGGCCCAACAATAAGGACTGCCCGATGGCCCGGGGCCAGCGTGAAAGAGGCTTGGGACAGTTGATGGATTTGTCACAAGTTTATCATTTACACTTCTTTTTAAGCCTTGCCAATTTAAACATTCAAGTGATTTTAAACCATTCAAGCGCAAGACGCTACACAAGACAACTCCATTCAGTGCTCGTGACTGTGTTCTCTGTGTACAGCACGCACACAGACAGCCGCGTCTCAACGCGCAAGCCTCTAATTCCTTTT